GTCTTATCATCAACACTCTTACCCGTTCAGTTCGTCAGAAAATGATTATCTTGATTGTATATTTATTAAAAGCCATAATTGTTTTCATTTTGCAGGGTTTTGATCTTGTAGAATTTTATTTTGTGATATTACCCTACAAAATATATAAGTGTACTAAAAAAGAATATGTGAAAAATGACTAACTTTGTAATAGATTTTATTGCATTTTAAACCGTGAAAGAGAAACGATGAGATGATTGAATCGCCTTTCTCATCATCAAGTGGAATCCAACCATAGATGGATTCACTAAAACACAGTTGTAAGAGTTGTTTAACTCCAAAATGTACTCCGTTTAAGAACCAAAATCAACAAACACAAAAATGAATACATAGGTAGCCCTTTTAGAATCTAACAATAAGCATGCTGCTGGATGGGAATATATGTTTTGAGGAAAGTGCAAGAACACGATCAGATTATAAGTAGTGGCGGTCCCTGAAAAAAAATTCAAAACACATGCAAAAGCTGTAGGGAAAGTGATGAATGAATGAGGGACTAACAGTTGAGATACATACATATAGCAGGGATTTTGGTAAAGATTGGATCTTCATGAAAGTTGATGATGAATAATGAAGTCCTAGTTGTTATTATGTTCATCGTATATAAACGGATCGATCTTTTTTCCCTTTAGCTGCTGAAGAGTCATTCTCATGCATGCAGTGATGAATGAATATATGCTCGCACTTTTGCCCTGACTTGCCCTTTTCATGCACGCACACGCACGTATTAAAAGGGCTTAAAGCATAGGAAATGATTAAAGAGTGTGTACTAGAGTAATTTTACTCAACTCCAACTGCTAGTCGTTCTTTCAGAAGTTAAAAGGAAAAGGGAAATGGAGCTTCCAAAAGAATGCCCTCCTCCCAATAATGTGGGAAGATCATTATATATACACGCACCACTTGAGCTACCAAACTTAACCTAGTTATTAATTACTAGGGTCCGAGTGAAGATTAATCTGAGTGATTAAATACATCGTAATTTAGTTTTATATTAACAAAAACTTTATAATACTTATAGTACTTGATAATTTGGTCACAAATATTTGACGTTTATCATGGGACCTTTAACGAGCCAAAAAAAAAACATGGGTTACAAAATTAGGCCAAGCTTTTATGAGATACGGGTATGTTAACATAATAGGACAAACACACTCTCCAAAATATATACTGATAATTAGATTGGAACCAATCATATCATATAGTTTCGACTGATTTTTCTGATTGACACAATTAAGCGCATCCCAGCCATCTAATCTGATCAGACGTTGACTAATTCATAATTAAATAACAAGGGGACCAAGAAATTTTTTCAAGGTATATATTAATCGTTTAAACCGGTATAAATCAATTTGTGGGGGACAGCAGTTATCAAATCAAATCCTCTGATCATCTTAATTTTGATGGTCCTGCGATCAGGAAAGAAAGATGGTTCTCTGTAACATGTGTACGTACGTGAGAGGAGAGATACCCTTCGGCTATCATGAGGTTGTGATCATATATAAGGGCACTTTGTACGTAGAGGACCACTATTATACACACACACACACACACACACACACACCAGCATCTAGTAGGTTATATATATATATATATATATATATATATATCATGAAATGAAACTAGTTCAATTTATATTGACCGGAGTTACAACCTCAATTAATCAAGGTCCGCTAAAAATATCTTAGAAAAATACTTGTACGCTACAAACTCTTCGTTTTTTTGTTGGGTTTGAATCGTATCATTGTTCGAAATCACTTTTAAGTTATCTAAACTTAAATTTCTCTATCAACGAGTAATGTGCAATCTTTTGTTGTTAGTCAAATTAATATAGAGTTTCTGGCATATATATATAATAGAAATCTCATTGGCTAAACAAATTGTATTTTGCATCCACCGGGAACAAAACAAACCAGACAAAAATGAGATGTGACAATTTGAAAATTACTATATGGGACTAAGTGATTGACTACATATTTAGTCCCTTTTGTCAGCCGAAATTAAATGATAATGGATGAGAACTCATGATAAGAATGGAGAGGGATTGGATATTTTACCCATTAGCAGCTCTGGACCAGCACAATGGCCTCCCCTAAACCACATTATCTGCCTCGGTACAAGATGACAAAATTATTATCATCTAATACACGAAAAACATACATTACATGCATATATATATATATATATCGGTTATCAAATAATTAATTCACCATTGAGCCAATATAGGGTATAAAGAGTGAGAAATTCTTTAAACATATTTGAATTTTTATTATTCTTTTCATCTTATAATAATTTTAACAAGCTGAGCGATCATTTTGAGAATTGATAAGAAACTTTTTTTTCAACTCCGTCGTGTATGTAAGATTCTAATGCTCTCCTAGAAAGTTGAGTGTGTGTATAAGTTGTAGAACTATGAACAAATAGTCGAAAATCCTATAGCGCAGTAGCTAAGGCATGCATTTGTAATCATCATGTAACAGCGCAATCCCTACCCTAGCCTATATACAGGTTTTAATTAAGTTTGAAACTAGCTGGGATCATGTGAATCAATTTGAAACCATCAATTTAATTAAGACCCCCCTTTTTATTATATAAAAAAAAAGAAAAAAGAAAAGAAAAGAAGAAGACTGATCGATTCTGTACAAAAGTACTAGTTCAACCCCCCCTTTTTACTGTCAAAATGTCATTTTAATGCATGCTTTGCTTCAGTTTGATTGAGACGCACGTTACCATTGAATTAAAAACTTTACATATGTGTACATATGATAAAGGAGTAATATCAAAATTTAAAATGATTGATTAAGCTAAAATATGTGTACCGAAAGTTGTCCATCTTCATTATAACACGGTACAAAAAACCACGAACAGGAACGTGATTAGTGGCAAAAAGGATTTCCAATTACAGTAACCATTTTCAAATGTATGCACAAAAGTTAAGAACTTCCAAATTAAGCTTAATGTTTGCGTTAATAATTAGCCCGTTAATTAATAGCCTAATGAAAGTAACCCCTTCTCTCTATCAGTCCAATGGGCCACACTATTAATTCGACAAAATCCCTCATCAACAAAAGCATCTAAACATGCATTAGGATCTCATAAGCAACTAATGATGTACTTAAAAATAAAAACTTGATCATAATAACGATGTGTTACTCACTCATTGTCAATGAACATGATCATTATTATTTGTAAATGCGTTATTAAAAGTTAATTTACGAGTAAGTGACACATCTGTTACTATGATTATACGTACTTTTTTTTAGTCCATTGAAAAACTAGTTTTTCTTAATTTTAAGACCGATTGAGTATATATTACTTTAATTAATAGTAACATGGTACGCTTTCGGCCGGAGGAGGAGTACATTGCCACCTAAAAAGGAGAGAGGATTCAAGGATCCAAAACGAGTAACTCGACTTTGTTCCATTTATAAACAGCTCAGAGAATTTTAAAAAATTAAAGTTAAAAAAAGGCTGCAGAAGTGAAGCTAGCATTCCAATTTCCCAGGCAGCGTGAAAGATTTGTTTGCACTCTCTAGTCAAGTATTCAGGCCAGCTATTTCCAGCAGGAGGATAGGGTAAGAGACGGATTAGTTCTTTATGGAAAGCCTAATTGGAATGTGATTAAGAAGATTTCAGCTTTTTACCTAGCAATATAAAAAAAATAAATAGAATATTGAATTGGCAAATTTGAGAGGCCAACTCCATTCTTTTTTTTTTTTTTTTAATAATAACCTGAGATAAGTCTGATTTATAATTTTTTTTTAACATCACTCCTTAATAACCTAATCTAATGATGTTTGAATTATCTCTGAAAATGGTGAAACAAAAAGAAATGAAAGAAACTGACGGATTATCGGATTATGTGTTTCTCTCACATTTATTTTAAAGTTGAAGTTCAAAGAAAGAAAAATATCCGGATGAGTTGAAATTCTGGCTCTATCACGATATAGTTGGTGTGTCATATTAACGTTCTGTAAAAATATAGTTTACTAGACAATATGTCTCCTTTACTTGTACCGAAAAAAAAATCCGGTACTGGTTGAATTAAAAGAGAAAAAAAATGAAAATATCCGGTCAATTCGTAAGAACGATGGGTGCATTAGAGAGAATCAAGATAATGTGTAATTAATTGCTTTTCAGGTTTTGCTGAGTATACATATTTGACTGTATATATGATGTGAATTATACGTACCGGTCTGTATTCCAATCAGTCAATCTCAGTTGAATTCCCCATTTTTTGAAGTGATTAAGCTGATAATAAGTTATCATTGTAAGCATGATTAAGATATTATAACTCACAGAACAATCTGTCATCTAGTTTCAAAAATATTACATGAAAATATGGTAACTAATAAATAGGGTTCTCTTGTCAACTTTTTCATTAGCATGACGTAATTAAATTGTATTCTCTATCGTATTTTATTTTTCCATTTTACTAGTATATTATTCGTAGTTTTTTTTTTCTTTTTGATAATTGCTATATTATTTTTGTTTAATTGAATAATTAAAATCATAGGGAACTCGAACACGTTCTCTTTTTTTCCCCCCTCCCCAAAGAAATTATTTTGGATCCACTTAATTATGACGCATAAGGTATTCATGTTTGAATTTGTGACCTGCCTCCTGTATCAATAACATTAATACCTTCGCATGCGTATTGTGATGGCGGATGAATAGAGTTGGCTGATATATAAATACTCTTAATTAATTTTATACATGTAGTGCCTTTTTTTTTTTTCCTTCTAAAATTGTGAATGGTCAGGAGCAGAGATTGAGCTTTGAACGAAACAGATCAATGTGGCGCATAATTACAATGCATTAATATTTTTGGAAAAGTGGTCCTAAAATCAACTTGGTTCCAGAACCCAAATGATCATATCATTCATATCCCAAATTCCCAATCGAGCGAGGAATATTGGCAGGAATAAGTCATCAAAGATTTCTGATTTAAATGCTCTAGTGATCATCTGGAATTTTGGTACCAATACATTTCACCATCATATTCATTTCAATTCCCTCTCCATATATTCTCCAATTCACCATTCCAACCCCCCACATGGACAATCATCAACCTCACAATGCTATAAATAATCACATAATCATGATCTGAAGAATGGTTAAATGGATCACTTTATAATTAAACATCTAAAATATAACAATAAAGTTAACCCACAAAAAAAAAAACAAAAAACAAAAAAGAAGGCAAATTTAAAGAACCAACAATATGAGATTGAGTAGCCTTCAGAAAATAATTTCTTTCTCAAATAAACCAACATATATTTGTATTTTTATCACCTCAAATCTCACCCTCCTACCTGAATGTCGTAATCTCTTCTCCCCTACCAATTAGAGAATTTGGCTAAATGTACAAGGTGTCTAATAACTAAGGTCCCCCCGCCCCCTCTCAAAAACAATACTCTTTTGCGTTTTCTTTCTGTCAATTTTGTTACCCAACCCCAAAGCTATAAATGTAGCTGCTGAATAAAAACGATTTTTTTTCCCCTTTTTGGGGTATTAATTTTTTCCTCCTTTTTTTCTCTTTCCCTCAGCTACTACTTCAAAAACATGAGTCAAACTCTCTCCTAATTTTTTTTTCCCATCCCGAAAACTGAATAAAAATAAGAAGAAAAAAAAAACTAAACTAATCATCGTTGGAATGTATTGGATGATGGACGAGAAATTAAGGAGAAATGTTGTTTAGCTTCTGCTTTCCAATGCTTTTCAACGTCTTCAGCAATTCTCTTAGCATCCATTGAAGCACCAAGCAAGCCACGTTTTGTGAACCCCACGGCATATAGCCCATTTTCACCTTTCCAACCATTTGGAAATGGTTTCTTTGGTAGTCCATCCATCTCTGAGAACATCTCCTTTTCCTATACCATTGAGGAGCCGAAATTAGAATTAATAAGACCGCAAAAAATTGTAACTTAGTTTAATAAATACGACTCTTTTTCTTTTAACAAAAAAAGAAAAAGACAAATAGAATAAGAATCGAGTAGAGGAAGGAAAATTAAAAAGGTAAAAAAAAATAAATAAAGGAGAAAAAAAGGTACCTTTAGCCAATATGGGACATTGCTTTTGTAACCAGTTGCTAAAATGATGGCATCGAATTGTTCACTTTTGCCACTCACAAATTCGGCGGAATGTCGTGTCAGTCTTTGAATGCCCGGACATACCTTCAAACACATTAGCTATATAAGTTTAGCAACAATGACATCCAAGTAGTAAAATTTAGAATGATTTCGACTAACTAAAAATGCTCATTTTCATTTCTGCTAAATTTATAGTATATATATGTGTGTGTGTGTTTTTTTTATTGTGTAAAAATTAAAAACAGGTGGTACAGTCGGTCAAAATGCTCACATATATAGAAATTTATAGTACTTCTTAAATCATAGCGAGTAAATATTGCAACTTAATTAGCCGTATTGTTTTTTGGTTCCCCTCATATGGACATACTTTTATTCAACACATAAGTACACATCCAGATATTCTATTGAAAAGGGCAGGCATATTTACAATCAAACTGCAACTTAGTCTAGTTAACAAGTTGATTATTTAGAGGTAATTAAATTTGGTTAAAAAGAAAGCAAAAAAAAAGTTGAAAGATGGACCCTGAAGGTACCAAAATTTTGGTTGCTTGGACAAAACTAGAGAAGTCTGCCTGGAGAACAATACATAATATGCAATGATTGAGAATTGAAACCCACAAGTGTTGGTTAATTTATGGGATCCAGAAAGAATCAATCAATCATTCCATTCATTCATGTATTCCACGGTAGATGCAATATGATTAATGATTAGACTGATGAAGAAGGGAAAGATACCTTAATGTGGCCAGATTTGATCTTGGAAAGTGTCCCGACATCAAGAACGGGAGTTTTACCAGAGAGATTCTTGAGGAGGAGAGGGCCCTTTGGAGGGCGGTGGAGGCCGTATTTGGAAGTGTCACCAAGCAAGAGCCTCGAAACAATCAACAGGAAGGCATCGACAAGGCGAATGGGCAGCCACTTTAGCAACCACATGGACAACCCGAAAGTTGATCTCCCCAGCATCTCTCGTGGTAGGACGTGCACCTACATTTTTACATACACATATCATTAGACCCCCTTCAATTTCATTAAATTTTCTTTCTTTCTTTTTGCCCTTTTTCTATTTTGCCTTCTCCCACACATGGACAGAGAAAAAGGTTACTAACTAATAACCCTTAATTTACTTTTTTCTTTTCTTTTCTTTTTTTTTTTGGTTCAATTCATTATTTAGCAGTAGTGGTGGAGTTTTTGTGACAAATATTTTTTGGAAAATTGGAAAAAAAAAAAAAGAACCGAAATGGCAAAAGAACAAAAAAAAAAAAACCCCAAAACAAAACAGTTTACTACAACTTCTTTATTTAATTTTTGGAGGAGGAGAAGAAGGGGCCAAAAAAAAAAAGTTCTAGGGTTAAATTATTATTTATTAACATGTATGTATAAAATAGAGGAGAGACGAAAAAAACAAAGTTGAGGCGATTGGAGATTTATAATGCCAAAAGAAAAAACAAAATTACTCTTAATTCTGTTTATTCAGATAGTTGAGAAGAAGGAGAAGCTCAATATAGAGAATACAAAACATAGATAAATCTTTAAGGGGAAAAAAAAAGCAGAAGAAGAAAGAATCTTAGGAAATCCCAACTAGGTTTAGCTTTAAACTCATGAAGAGACAGAAAGTATGGAAAATCAAAAACTTTATTGCTTATTAAAATCAAATGGATATTCAAAAAGCCTTTGAAGGGACAAAAAAACATTTAAATAAAGTTACTAATGGATTTGCTTTAGGAGAGATTGCCCAAAACCAAAAGCCCCCCTCTCCCCCATCCCCAAATAACAATCCAAAAAATGAAAGAAACAAAAACCCCCCAAAAGAAATTAAGGAAAAAATCAACAACGTTAATTTTGTTCATAGTACTAACAACAACAAACTAAGTACTTACAGTATCTCTGACAGCAAGTGTTGGAGATGCATTATGATTGCAGAGATCCAAACAAACCTCCATTCCTGAATTCCCACATCCAACCACCAATACTTTTTTGCCTTCAAAATCTCCTCCGCTTTTATACAAACTCGTGTGCATTATCTCCCCTTTGAATTCCTCCATCCCTTCCACCCTCGGCACCACCGCCTCCGCATTTTCCCCCGTCGCCACTATCAGCCACCGGCACACGTACTCCGTCGCCGATGCCGTCTTCTCCTCCTTCATCAAACCGGCAGCCGTCGTCTTGACCCGCCACAACCCAAGAACCCGATCGTACTCCGCGGAAACCACCGACTGGTTGAAAACCGGGTTAATGTCGAATCTCTCCGCGTAGTCCTCCAAGTACTGGATGAACTGTTGCTTTGAAGGGTAAGTTGGGAAGCCTTCCGGGAAGGGCATTAAGGGAAGTTCGCAGAACTGCTTCGGTAAATGGAGCTTAAGTCGGTCGTAGGTTTTTAGCTGCCACAAGGAAGCTATACAGTGGGATCTTTCCAGCACCATACATGGGATTCCCTTTTGCTTCAAACACGCCGCCGCCGCTAAGCCCGATGGGCCTGCGCCGACGATCACTGGGCCCGGTATGCACACACATCTGGTTGCGCTTTTCGTCATCATCATCGTTGGATCATGAACTCGTTTTCCTTCAATCTCTCTTAAGAAGTCCATTGAAGAAGGAGAGGAATATTGAATAAGAAAGAATAAATAAGAAGAAGAAGTAGTTCAAATAGGTTTATCCAAAGTAACTGTTTATGACAGGTTTAGGGGATCCATTTATGAAGAGAAAACCCTGGGATTCTGTTTGTGTTTTTGTTGAAGAGTAAGAGAAAAGGAGAGAGTGAAGTGATGGTAGAGAGTGTGAAGAAGAAGATCCCTTTTATATTCTTCACCTTAATTTGAATAAAAAATCAAATGATTGATTTTGGGATATGTTTAATGTATATATATATATCTTCTAGATGATGATGAAGAAGAAGGAGGAGGAAGTCTTGTGATAAAATTCGGAGGGTGTTTTGGAAGAGTTGGAATTGGATGATGGAAGCAATAGTGGAATTCTTATCCACTTGGATGAACAAATTTGAATGAATCTGAATTCTTCTAACTCTTTGTGTAGTAATAACCGGAGGTGTGGAGCGAAGTGTGCGGGCATATATCAGCATTCATTCAAGTCAAAAAAAAAAAAAAAGAAGAAAAAGATGAAGAGCAACAAAATAAATAAATAAATAAATATATAATGTTTTTTAAGGGAGAGTTTGGCAAAGGGGGAGAACAAGAAAAAAAAAAGTTTGGTTTTTGTGTGTGTCTTAACTACCAAAACTCAAAATCTTTTTGGTTCAATGGAAGGAGCTTTGGAGTAAATGAGCTCAATCGAATTGTGGGATTCTAAGAGGGAGAGATACAATAGTAAAGCTAAGAAGAATGGTTGTGTGTGAGTGGGACACATATTTATATTGTGTGTGTGTGTGTGTGTCTACTTATACATTTCTGTAGCATATTAAAGTGAAAAAAAGAAAAAAAAAACAAAGAACCCTTAATAAATAATAACTGTTAAATCAAACCTTTATTTTGGTTCTGCTTTTTTAGCCTTTAGCACTAGTACTTAAGTTTACATAATACAAGTACTATACTCACTCACATCACTTAGGTTGTCACGAAGTGAAAATGAATTTTTTAAAATACTAAAAGAAGTAAAAAACCTTCTTTTTTTCTTCTTCTTTTTGCATAGCCAGCACAAGCCTATACATATTAATTAACTAGCTAGAGATTAAATTAAGTTAGTACTATTAGTTATAGAGTTGTTGTTGTTAGCTTGTAGCTTAATTGGCTAAGGACTTTGAGTTTACCAAACTAACTAGCTAGACTAGATACATTAAAAGCCTATCATTATATAATACTATAAGTTTTTGTAGTTAGATTCTTATTTACCAAAGAAAGGTACTCTACGATTTGGCATGAATCGGAATGGGACTCTAATATAATGGCGGAATTAAGAAAAGAGTGCAATTCAAATTCTTTCCCCACATTGTACTACATATCATGATTCGTGATCTTTAACTAAAAAACTTTTTTTTTTGTTTTTTTTTTTTTTTGGCTTTTGAAGAATCTTTAACTAAAATGTAGTGATCGGTGTGTGCAATATTTATTTATTTAATATATGAGAAGAAATGTATATACTATAGGTTTTTAATGAATTTATTGCAAAAGTAGGTCTAGATTAATTATAAAGTTGGGCCCAAAGGGCCTTGTTCGGATGGAGAATGTTTTGAAACAATTAATAAGAGAGATGGGACACTAGGGAAGTCAATTTCATTTTTCCTTTTTATTTATGTATTTTTCTTTTTTATTGAGGTTTTATGTGCGACTTCTTTTCACTTTATAATTACCGTTTGTAAGAAGGTAGGGTTCACTTAAAGAAGGTTATTTGGAAACCTTGGTAAATTAATGGGAGAAGTAGAACAAAAGCAAGAAAACATTAATCATTTGATCCACAAACCCACTCCAAGGAAAAGGCCATGCATGATACACGAGTTCAAAGCCCAAGATTACATGCATAGGGTGTGTAATTGTTTACTAAAGCTTGTAGCTAACATATTATGTTGAGTACCAATAATCACTCCTTCGCAATGCCTTAAAATAAGAGTTTTATTTGTTATTAATTTGTGATAGATATAGCATATCAATCGCTGTTATATACAGTAAAATGGTGGCACATGATATCTAGTAAGAGCACAATCGCTTGAAAACTTCATAATTTTTCTATTCATGTCATGTCATAAGCCTTATGGTGATGGTTAATTACTAGAGTTAAATTAAGAAAATGCATGGTTAGATACTGTTTTAAGGAAACGTGCATTTTAGTCCCTCAATTTGGAAAAGCATTTCTTTGGTCCATTATCTTGGGATCTCCGCAATTTTCGTCCCCTACATTCCACGTTCCACCAAATAATCAAAAGCATAAACTTAGCAATATTTCAAGTAAATAATAAACTTATTATAATCCAAGCGAGTTAATTAATTTAATCGTCTTATGTTTTGTTTTGCTTGCTTGATTCATGGCTCAAATATTTTTATTTTCAACTGTTCATTGGACGATAAAAACATCAAGATGAAAAAGTTAAATGACAATATGAAATGCTAATTAAACCATTTAACTAAACATCTTCACCCAAAGAATTCCCAATATATATTACTCATTAAAAAGTTTTCTCTTTATTCTAAGATAATTATCGTATTTTTTACTCTCTTTAACGTGGAAAAATTGTATAAATCATAAAACTTAATATTGACCATTTTTTGGAATATAGAAAGTATTTTTCACTTAGTAGAAAAAGAAATTCGCGATTTTGGCAGGGGCCTCGCTCATATTAGATATTAGAATTCCTTCAAGATGAAGATTTCTTATGTATTTTTGGTGCCGAAAGTTAACTTTCCTCCAATTAGTACTTCCACGAACGAACAATATTGCAATTAGGGCTCCTTTCGGTCTTTCAATAATTCTTTTTAAAAGCTAAGATCCATTGTGAAAGATCTGGACTAATTAAATCTTGTGGGAGTTTGACTCCAAACAATATTGTGGCTGAATCTTTGCCATTTAGTAGAGTAATTAAGGCCAAGTATATAGTGGTTGACTTTTTCCCCGACGACTTTAGCTTAGGGTTAGAGACATAATAACCATGCATGTGATATTTTGATTAGATAAATTATGATTTCCATAACGATAATGATGACGATATTTGACCCCTTATATGCTTCAATTCCAAATGATTAATTATTTTAGATTACTTTGACCTTAACAAGAAGTTTTCAATATGCATGCCATCATCATATCATGAGATGTGTAAGTAATACATTACCAATCAGGCGCCGTTGATGTGTAATCCATAACAAATGTCGATTAGTATTAGCACTGATCATTCGAATCATAACCATATTATAACAAAAGCGTTTCATCCCATTTCACAAACATATTTCACTTTTTTATCTTCATTTTTTAAATATAGGTCAAGATAATTGTGTTGAAGATATTGGATGAATGATTTTTAAAATGTGAAATGCGTTCAATTTAAAACACATATCTTGATCTACCCTTTTCTTTGCTTCTGTAGTTAACCATGATCGACTACTCTAGCTTAATGGAGAAATTTTGTGATTTGTGATGAATTATTTCAATGAACTTGTGCTATAATCATCAACTAATGGCCACGCTCAATAAGTTTTTTTGTTTTGTTGTTTTTTCCCCTGTTTTTTGGAAACAATTACGCATAAATATACTCATCTTAGTCAATAAAGAGGATCATGTTTCATAAGTACTCTACTGTCTATGTTAAATTATAAGGGTCGGAAAGGCATTGCATGCATGATGCATCGTAGTAAAAAGTATATATGCACTACGAACGTCGGAGATCAATCGGACCATACAAAATTATCGTCATCATCTCTGCATGTGCTAACGAGTTAGTGTTCCTTCGCAATGATTCAACAACATAGAAAATCTTGATACACTCCCTTAACAAATAAGTATATACTCTTAGTTTGGGACGAAAAAATATATTGAAAAGTGGTAGATTAATTTCAAATATTACATTTTGCGTATAATCTAATAAAAGCATTGTGCGAAAAAGAGTTAGAAAATGAACATCACTAATGTTGATCATTCGAGTGTAACATCATCCATCTCAAAGATCAATGGGAGTTAAAGAAAATCTCACTAATTGTAAAATACAGTATTCCTACTCCAAGCCTCCTCGCTAACTACAAAAAAATTAACAAAGAAGGGAGAAAAATATCGAATTATTTACCTAAAATTTTGAATTCTTAATCTTGTGATAACAACAATCTGACGCCACAACTTCCCGTTCCTTCAATTGACAAAACTTGTCAGATGATGTTACCCTATCAATCAAAATGCAAAAGTATACACACAATACTCCAACATATTGCATCACATCAAATCAATATCTGAAGCTGCCGCTCCTGATTGCATGTGCAAATGATTACGGACCTAATTAAAAAACCCGGCTCAAAACTAATTAAACCACCACACCCTAAATTATATTTCGTACATAAAAGTATTCTAAAGCAACTCAACTTCATTGGTTGGGAGGCTGTTTTTAATACCTTTACTTTCTTGTTCATCTCTCTTTTTTTCTTTTCTTTTTTTCTCTTCACACTATACTAACAAAATGGCTGTAATAGTTCCTCTCAGCGTGCGTTGAGTTGAGGCTCCAGATGGATTTAGTGGCATTATATGGGGGAATGAAATGAAAGTAGGGGCATTTAGAGAGGCATTGTCCAATCCTTTTGCAAGTAAGTTAATGGCACTGTTTTCTTTCTTTTGGTGTCGTACGCCTCACCCATTCATGAGGACCTATTGTGGCAATATTGTTGGACACCACCTTTGGGTTTTTATTTCGTTGGACATGATTAGGTATCGAATTTATGAAACGGAAGAAACGAAATGTGTCAATTTATTGCACACCATTTCAATCATTGGATAAAAGTATTAAAGTGTCTCTCTTGAAAAATAACACTCAATGCTGTAATGATTATTGTTTGTCCCGTTTCGCCCGTGAAATAATTTCGGAATGAAATCTTCACCAACTGACTGACCAAGCTGCAACAACCACAATGTGATTGAATTCATGATACCATAATGAATAACATTAGCCTGTTTTTTGAATGGCAGGATATGCGCATATGCAACATGCAGTTGTTTGTTTCTTCTTCCAGGGGGCAGCCCAATGATTAGACCGACGCTGTAAATTTCTTTCTCACACATCGTGAGTTCCAGAACATCCAAAGGGTTTCCAAGAGGCTAATATGTCTTTGTTTGGACTGGGTATTTTGATTTTTTTTGAAAAAAAAAAATGATTTATGAATATTATACACAAGCGGAAAATATTTCCAAATATGACTTGCATTTTAAAGAATTTATATATTTCTTTTAGTTCAAAACAACAAATTGAACCCTTACAATGTGTACTAAATGATTTACATACCCTAATTCTGTCACGGAAATCATTTTCTCTTTAAGTCTAACATTATGTAATGTTACCCTCAAAAGAACGATTGATACAAATTATAACTATCAACTTCCCATGATTTCGAAAAACAATAAAAACAAGCCATGGAGGCCAAAAAAAAAAGAGAGAGAGAGAGAGAAGAAGAAGAAGGATTATACTCTAAAAAACAAGAGGAAAATGGACCGGAAAAATATTAAAAATTGACAATTATTGTAGCACCTGATATCTGTTGCTGGCTCCGGTGAAGTGGGAACTGCAAAACAAAATCAAACCGACACTGAAGAGCCTAGCTAATACCTACTACTTTGCCATTGTATCACAAACTTGAACAAAAAAAATTAAAAAAAATAAAATTTTAAAAAAACAAATTAAGATTTTTTTTTTCTTTCTGTGCAGCA